GCCCAATCCACCTGACACCCATTACTCGGATCACTGAAAGGGTAGCTCTGGTAACATTGTTTCCCTGATCAGAAACCACCAGTGGCTCCCCAGTACCCATCTAAGACAAGGAAGAAAGGAAGAATGGAATTCCAGAAGGTCGGAAGGACGACAGAAAAGGCCCTAAGCCAGGGGCTGAAATCCTCGATCAAGTCAGGATGTGCAGAGGCCATCCATGGATAAGCTGAGGAAGCTGGAGAAGAGATGGTCTAAGGACTGCTGAAGACAAGAGGAAAATGAGCGGTAATAAAGAGGAGGGGTCCACAGACCACAGTGGCCTCAGGACCGTGCCGTGGAAGTGGGGAGGAAATGATGGAGGTCTTGTAAGGGGTCGGATGGAGGCTGGGGGTGGAGGGAGTGTGCTGCAGGAGGACTGACACTCCTGGCCTTTCAGAGCGCTCAGAAGGGGGCTGAGGCGGAGGCTCCTGGGGGCTGGCCAGGGGAGACCCAAAGAGGGGAGATCATGAGGAGGCAGATGTCCCATGAAGGCTGGGGTGGTACAATACTCCTGGGATGACTCTGGGCGTCCCAGGAAGGTCAGGTGAGAGAATGGAAGAGGCCTGGGAATGCAGGAGCTGGGGAGATACAGAAAGGAAGACAGAATGGAAGGAAGCAAGAAGAGGAAAAGAAAGAAGCAAAAGAGGAGACTTCCTGGACCTTCGAGAAGGGCTCGTCTCCACCAGGAGCCTGCAGGAGGACTCAGGAAAGACTTCCCTGAACTGTGCCCCATCCCCGCCCCCAAGTGTAAAGGTACCTGGTGCCTCCCACGCAGAGCCACCCCCTGCTTGCTGGAAGATAATGCACAACACACCACCCTCCAAGGACCTCCAGGCCTCGAGGGCCAGGGAGATGGAGGTCTCACCTTGCCAGGATCTGAGGACCGTGCATCCAACCCCTCCCGACCCAGCCTGGCTGCAGAGCACTGGGGATTGGGCTACCCACCCCACACCCTGTGCCGTACCTGGCCTTGCTGCCATCACCCAGGATATGGAGGCTGCAGCTGCACTGAGAGGGACAGGAGCCCTGGGCCTGGGGGGGCCCCCCAAGGGCCAGGAACCAGAGCATGCCCACGGCCACCCTCATGACTCCTGTCTCCTCTCTGGCCTGGGCAGGCCCCTGTCCCTGGACTGCTCCGTCCTGCCAGCCCAGCAAGCCCAGCAGCTGCCCACTTGCTTACCAGCCCCCACACCCCCGCCTGAGGCCATCAGATAAACACAGACAGGCTGGGGATTAGGGAGGGGAGTCCCAGCCACAGCACTCAGCGGCTTATTGCTTTCTAAATCTCCCAGTCCTAAGGGGGTGGGGACCCCTTTCATAGCAACAGCCCGAGGCCCAGAGAGGCCAGGGCCCAGCAAAGCTAGGCAGGTGCACAGCTGCCCAGAGGCAAGCGGCTCCTGGACCAGCCAGCTGGACTGCCCACAGCACAGACCCCACTGGGGTGCCCGGGCTCAGGGAAGATGGAGACAGACTCTGGCCTCCAGTAAGGGCATTTGGAAATTCTCTCCTGGAATGCTCTCTTGTAGTGAAAAAGCAACGAGATGAAGCAAGTCTTCTGAAGGTGGTGAAGGCATTAGAGGGACCTGAGGCTCTGGGGCCAGGCTACCTGGGTTCAAATCCCAGCTCTTCCATTTTTAGGCTGTGATTCTGGGAGAGTCACGTCATCTCTCTTGGCTTCTATATTCTCACCTGACAAAGGGAAGTAAAGTTACTCCACCCAGAGTGTTCATGAAAATTAAATATCTCGTTTCCTGGGCCTTGACAGCCGATGGGAACAGACACTCTCTCACGAGTAGTAAGTACACAATTTCACTGGTGCTTACAAGTACCTGTTCACAGAGGAGGTGGAAAGAATCAGATATTCCAGGGAGATCTCAGAGGTGTCTCCCACGGGCTCATGAACTATCCAAGTCTGCCGGGAAAACAGCCGCCTGCTCCGAATGACTCAGCGACACCCAGTTTCAGAGCATTGCTGTTTCAGCTGAGCCCTTCCGGGCTTTACCACCAATGCCAAAGACCAGAGGTGTCTCCCAGTGAGGGCACAGGTCACCCCTCTCTTTATAGTATCATACCCCAAGGAGGGTCCCAGAGCAGTCTCTCTCAGAGTTTGTAGAGAGGGCACTGTCAGTTTTTACCTGTCCTCCCCTCCCCCGCCACCTCATCCCAGCACACCTGCTCAAGACACCTGTGAAGACTGAATCGCACAGGTTATCCCAAGCAGTACACACTCAACTGACTATCTCCTTGCTATCACATTCAACTCCTAGGCTTTGCTCTCTGGTCCAGCACACCCT